GACTTAGAACTTCAACTTAGATTCATTTCCTTTCTGGTTAAAATTATGTAAGTCTGGGTTTAAGATTATATCTCTGAATGAGACAAAATAATAGGGGATTCCTTTAAAAAAAAAAAAAAAAGGAAGAAGAAGAGGAAGAAGCAGCAATAATTGACCCTAATTCTTAGGCCAGAACTCCACAATGGATTTGTTGAAAAAAAAAATTGTTTTCATGGTTGTCTGTAGAAAAAAGTGCTCTTCATGAGGGAGATCTTTGTGGAGATGGAATAGTTCTGTATCTTATTTCTATGCTTCCCTGAATCTACACATGTGATTAAAAGGACATAGAATGTATGTATACATATCATGCCACTGTTACCAGAAGAAGAGGGTCGGCTGCCTGTTAGTCTTAGCAAATATAGAGATGGGGATAGGTTCCCCAACTTTAGTCAGAAGGCCAGTGATGCCGGAGAACAGTGAGAGTGGCCTCTCCAAGACTGTTTTGTTCTTCCATTTCCAAAACCACAGTTTTATACATAAAAGTTCAAAGCAAAGACCTCATCTTGGTGTCCTATTACATTTCCAATTCAAAAATTAATCTCCTAAATCAATCAGCCTAAACTACTCAAAGTAGGTATCTTACGAACCAGTAAGAATAGGAGGCAGGTAGTGAAGTCACCTAGGACCTAAACTGATCTGACCAGCTGTGTCACATTGGCTTAGCCTCACTAACTCCATCCTATTCTCACTACATGTGCTCTCATCACTGTCAATTTCCCAGTTTTGATAGTACAGGTCAAGTAAGATGAAACTGTTGCAGGAAGAGGAGGCCCAAGGGAGAAAAAGAGCACCCAAACGCCATGTTCCAAGAGGAAGGGCTTTATTCAGCCAGCAGACTGAGGCACAGAAGAATTCAAAACGGCCACACTCCCCAACTGGCTCAGTCTTCTCCTTTTTTATCCCCAGTCAAAAAACTCTGGCCCATGGGTACCTTTCTCATTGTCAGTCCGAATCAAGCTGGAGAAGCAAACTCTGGCTTTTACAGAACAGAAGCAACTGTCAGCCTCCAGGTCCCAGGAAGTTAAGTTTTACATATTCCTAAGAGCTGAATCACCAGAGGGGGGATCTCACAGGTGTATCCTTGGGGCCTCCTTGCAAAGACTTCTGTTCTCTTATACCTTACTTTTTCTGGGTATCCTCCCTCAAAACTATTAGGGGATGGGCTCAGCACCTGTGGCTCAAGTGGCTAAGGCGCCAGCCACATACACCTGAGCTGGAGGGTTCAACTCCAGCCTGGGCCGCCAAACAACGAGGGCTGCAACCAAAAAATAGCCAGGCGTTGCAGCAGGCGCCTGTAATCTCAGCTACTAGGGTGGCAGAGCAGGCAGGAAAATGACTTGAGACCAGGAGTTGGAGGTTGCTGTGAGCTGTGATGCCAGGGTACTCTACCCAGTGTGACAGCTTGAGGCTCTGTCTCAAAAAAAAACTATTAGGGGGAAACTGGGTAGAAGGTACATGTAATCTCTCTGTACTGTCTTTGCAACTTTCTGTGAACTTATTTCAGAGTGAAATGGTTTTGCCGGGCACAGCGACTCACGCCTGTGTCCTAGCACTCTGAGAGGCCAAGGTGGGTGAATCACCTGAGCTCAAGGGCACTCAATGGGGGCCACAAAGTGAGATTCTGTCTCAAAACCAAACAAACCAAAAACTCACAATGGAATGTTTCTAAAAGTGCACCTTTCATGCATTAACATACTTTGAACCTTCTGCATTAGGACAAGTCATGGAGAATAAAACAGAAGGCACTTTTCAAAGGTTTTCAGCTCCAACCCAAAAGAAGACTGGAGGTTGGGAATTCCCTAGACAGGAAATACCCTCTGCGACCGCCCGCGACCGCCCGCGCCGCCCCCTCCCTTCCCGCCTGCGCATCTTTCAGGGGACACCTCAAAGCCACCTCCTTCCCTTAACCCCTCACATAAAGTAGATGGCCTTTGCTACTCTCCGTAAGCTCTATGCCCTCCATAGCGACCTCACCAGGTGTAATGATTCGTTTACCTGGTTGTTACCAGGCTCCCCATCAGAATACAATGTAAACT